GGAACTTTTTCAATTCTCTCTTTCTAAAACACTGAACAGAAAAGGCTGGTAAGTACTATTCACAGATGATTAAAATAACAGAGAAGGGGAAAGCCCACAAAGTTTTTAAAACCTAGAAGCAAAAGTGGAAGAGGGTGCTAGGAACACAACCTACAACACAGACTGGACATTGCAGTAGCTCTGGGCCTCATACAAGAGGACTTCCCCAGAGCACAGCCTCTTATCATAACTCAACTATAAAGAGAATGAATCCTGTTGATTTGAAATGTTTCCTTGTAGAGGACTTGTCTGATTGTAATGTCTCTAAAAACTGACACTATTCTAGTGTTTACTTAATGTGATATCTTAATTTAATCATTTCTTCCCTGGTCTCTCCTAATAGCCTAGCTGGCCTTCCTATACATATCTTATTTGTGTTTCATCTACTTTTCAGAGAGCAAGGACGATTCTAAAACAAACAAAACACAAACCCAGGCCACTCCTCTACCACATTCCACTCTTGGAAAAGTGTCCAGTCCTTATATTTTCCATAAGGTTCTAAATCATGAGAGGTGCTCGCTCTACTCACTGCGCTGGAACCACCATGGATTTCTGTCTAATTCCCTCAGAGCAGCTTCCCATCATCAGGCCTTCTCTACTGCTCTCTTCCTAGAATGGTTTTCTTCCCTATCTGCCTGGAACTTTCAATAAATCTCTTAGTTCTGAGCTAACATGACTTCCTCAGGTACCAGATGCTTTTGATCAGTCTTCTACTCCCAACACTCCTCTGGCCTCCTATCAATTGCACTTATCATACCTGCAAATAAGAGATCATTTGTTCAGGTCTTTTCTAACCCTGTATAATAAGCTCCACGAAGGAATGATTGTGTCTGTCTTAATTACTGCTGCCTCTACATTGCCAAGTAGGAAACAAGAAATGGAAGGGAGCCTAACTCTGTGAGGCACAAAATAATGAACATCAGATAATCATGGACAAAACTGTGAATCTATCAACAATACACACAATGAATAACATTAACAAGTCTCTGTGGAAGTTTACGACAAATGAAGCAGCTGATGAAGCAAGACTGTTCACCCTTTTATCCCCATACTCTGAATCTGCAACTAGACTGCTGAGCTAGGGGCAGCAATGATGCTCCTGGAAAATATTCAAGGAATTCATTTTGGCAGCTAAATTTCCTGGAAAGAAACAAACTGAGAATTTCAACCAGAGTCACCAGAAGAAACAGTGATTGATAGGCCACCCGTGAAGTGATAAGAAATTCAACCAATGTTTTCTGGATTCTGTTTTAGTCAATTAACTTCTGTCCAATGAAACAAATATTTGATGGATGGGATGGGATAAGCAAAAACTATGACTTCAGGAGTCATAGTTGATTATCACTTCAGGAGTCAAGATGATTATCACTTTGGAAAGTGTTACTGTAATGAAGTCCCTAAGGTGGCTACTTCAAATTTGGAATGGAGATTTTTTTGTCTACAATATGCTGATTTCCAGTGGGATCGTGGAGACGATTTAAGATTCTTACCCAAGAACAGTACCAATTCTTAAAATATTTTATTATTTTTATTTTATGTGCATGAGTGTATTGCCTGCATATATGTGAGTGCACCTGTGTCATGCAATGCCATGGAGGTCAGAAGAGGGCTTTGGATTCCCCTGGAACTGGAGTTAAGGATGGTTCGTAGCTGTCATGTGGGTGCTGGGAATAGAAGCTGGGTCGTCTGCAAGAGCAGTCAGGGCTCTTAACCACTGAGCCATCTCCCCAGCCCCAGTACCAATTCTTTAAGGAATTGATGTACGTGGGTACATCAGGTTACTAGGGATTTAAAAAAAACAAACAAAAAACCCATGATTTGAATACTTACAGTAAGATACCCTCTTTTGTTAGTTTCCAGAAATCTTCAACTTGATAAATAGCAAAGAGAGGGAAAATATGAATAAAAATGAGAATTTAACCTCATCTTAAGAATCTTAAAGAGAGGGAGCTGGAGATGACTCAGCGGTTAAGAGCACTGGCTGCTCTTGCAGAGGACCAGGGTTCAATTCCCAGCACCAACATGGTGCCTAACAACTATCTGTAACTCCAGTACCAGGGGATCTGACACATTGTTCTGACCTCCTCGGGCACTGCACAACACACCTACCTTCATCCAAGCAATATACTCATACACATAAAATAAATAAATAAATAAAATATTTTTTAAAGAATCTTAAAGAGCAAAATCAGTTATTTCTTCTCTTCTTACCTACCAACCCCAGATTTCCACAGAATAAAACTGAAAGGATAGCAATCTTTTACGTCACAATGTCCTCTACCATTTAGATGGTGGGGGAAATGCAAATACATGTTCACAGTGATGGACCAAAGCGACACTCTGTGCACCTATTGTGTTGTGTCTGTGGACACTACACATGTATCCAAGTTCACCCTCACAACTAGCCTGTTCATAGACAGAAGCCCTGGAGGTGAAGTGACACAACAAAGACACCAGCACAAGGCAGTGGCAGGGTGTTTCTGTTCTGTTTGTGACTTCTGGCTTTTGAAAGGGGTCCAGGCCAACTTTGAATTCTTTGTGAACCTCAGCCTCCAGAGTATTGGATTGGAGATGTGTGCCACCAAACCTGGTCAGAAGCAAGTTTTAGTTTGAGGCCTACTTAGTGCCCTTCCTGTGATATCACTCTGCCAAAATATTAAGCGTTCATTTAACTTTATCATTCTCTAAAAGTCTGTTAGCTTCATTCTTGTTCCATGGCTTATCAGCTAAGGGAAAGCAGACTCCACTTCATGTAGGATACACCTCTTTCCTCTATTTGAACAGTCTAAAAGAAACTCTTAGTGAGACAGTGTTTATTTCAAACACATCACAGTTCAAGAGGAATGGTTTGTTTTGTCCTCAGTGGTTCCAAATGTTCAACATTCTCACAACTACGAGGATCTAGATAATCTTGTCATTTACATGGTATGAAGTAAAAGTTCATTTCTGATTTTATACAGCCAACTTAGTTAATTTACTGTTGAATATAAAAATTGTGGAATTACCCCAACATTACAATCACCTGAACAAAAAAGCATTAAAAAACTCTTAAATTCAGTTCTTAAGAGTTGGCCAAAACGCTGAGATACTTCTTCCCAGAGATATCTCTTGAATGGTGTGCGTGTGCCCTGGTACCCTAGAACAATGTTCTGCTGGAATTCTGTCTGGAACTGTGCTTCAGAACTTAGTCAGGCCCCACCTATGATTTTATTCAAATTGGTTTCTCCAGCTTGAATTGGCAAGTACAAGTTTATATCTACCCCTTAACAGCAAGCATTCTTTCTTAATCCTCATGCTTCCAATGAAGCTGGGTGAGGCTGCCTTTGATATGTTAATTTTTCAAGCATACCCACATTCATTCATTACAGTTTGAGTACCAAATTGAGGTTCCCAGGAAAGAAAATCAAGTGCCCAGGTCCAAAAGACACAAGATTACATGGTTTTACCAGGGTTAATTAAGAGTCATCAGTCTAGATTATGTCTAAATAATTCCTACAAAAATAACCACGTTTTTATACAAATGACTTTTAAATTTGTATTTTTAATATTTTATTATTTTTATTTTACATGTATGAATGTATTGCATCCATGTCATGCAATGCCCTCGGAGGTCAGAAGAAGGTGTCAGATTCCTTGGAACTGGCATTATGGATGGTTATTAGCCACTGTGTGGGTGCCAGGAATCAAACTCAGGTCCTCTGCAAGAGCAGCCAAGTGCTCTTAACTGCTGACCTATTTCTCTAGGCCCAAATAACTGTTTTAAAATATATATTTTATTATTTTTATTATTTTATGTATATGAGTTATGTTGCTTACATGTGTGAAAGCATACCCATGTTATGCAATGCCTGAGGAGGTCAGAAGAGGGTGTTGGATTCTCCTGGAACTGAAGTTACAGACAGTTGTTAGCCGCCATGTGAGTGCTAGAAATCGAACCTGGGTCCTCTGCAAGAGCAGCCAGGGCTCTTAACCACCAAGCCAACTCACCAGGCCCTGCAAATGCCTGATTTTTATATATCCTCCTATCCTACTAGCAACACTTTTGAGACGTTCTCTTCACAGTGCCTCTAATAACAGAAAGAACATATACAAGCCACAGCAGCCAAAGCATAGAACAGCTTTCATGCAGGTCTCATATTTTCTATTAGAGATCCAACTAAATTGTGGGTTTTAGTCTACTTAATATCTGCGTTTTTAACCCTCCCCCTCCTTAGACCCTATAAAAATTCAGAAAAGCCTTTTTTTGCCGTGTCTCAGCACTTCCCCGAGTACACTTGGTGGCATGACAGCCTAGCCTTTGTAAGTGATATGGCCTTTAAAATAAAACTGTGAAATAGTAACTTAAAGATAATAAAGCTTGAAATTGACATGGTTCATCTCAATATTTCATACATTTTTTTAAGTTATGGCAGTTTATGTTCCAATCTCATAAAAGTGAAAAATTATTATTTCCTATACTAAGGAAAAAGAAGTACATTGGCTTTATATAAAAGTTAATATACTCAGGCTGGAGAGATGGCTCAGCAGTTAAGAGCACTGGCTGCTCTTGCAGAAGACTCGGGTTCGATTCCCAGCACCCACACAGTGGCTGTCAACTATCTATAACTCTAGTTCCAGGGGTTTGATGCCCTCTTCTAATGTCCTTGGGCATTGCACAACACAGGTGCACTTACATACATGAAAACAATACACTCATACACATAAATAATAAAACATTAAAAAAGCAGGTGAAAGATCATCTGCCAAAAAAAAAGTTAATATACTCAACTGTCAGAATCTGAAACAGTTAAAATTTTGTTGAACTTTTTACTGTGCATTATTAACTGTCCTTCTGTCAAATTTGTGTATATTATTAACTTTCTCTCTACTCCAATCCCAGGCAACAGGTACTTAAAGAAACATTTCCTTTCTGTTTTCAGAAATTGCAAAATGTGGAAACTACCGTATAAGATGAAAATTACCTTGTTTATCTATAACTGAGTATGAAGCCAAAAATCCTCGTCCAGAAACATGGATTCCACTCATGAACAGCACTGTGATTTCATTGCCTTTGGATTCAATTGAATGATTCATTTGCAAACCCAGACCACAGTATTTGCCTAAGAATAAAAGAAAAGCAAATTTACTTGGAGTGATTCTCATGAAGTTAATATTTGTAATGTACATAGCAATTATTTAGCATAATACAGCAAACCAGGTACTAAATTAGTAAAAAAGAAATTAGAAATGATTAAAAAATCATATTTTTGGAGGAAAAAATGCCAAGTAATGCCCAAAATCACTACAGGTATTATGGACTTTCAGAGATTCATTTTCCAATAACACACATACATACTCTTTAAAAAGAAAATTTTTTTAAAGTAGCATTCCAAGTAAGTTGGTAACCTGAAATAAACGTCCAGTCAGCATACTTCTTATTGGGTTTCCTTCAGAACCTCCTGATTCCCCAGCCTCAGCATATCCTCAAACTATTTTTGGACTTACTCAGTTTTACATCTGAGGATTATCACATCTTAGTTTGATGCTTAAATGACCATGTTGGTTCTCACGGCTTTAACTGTGATCTGACAATTCAGTAACTTAAACTTCCACCCATAGCCCAGTCCTTGAACTTCAGATGTATATGTTTAACTGCCTGCCTAAATTCTAGCCTTCAATGTACAGCACACATGTAAAACAAAAACATATTTTCGGCACAAATTTAAGTAAACTAAGATAGAAGAAAAGAGAATTAAATATACCAATACATAATAAAAATGGATTTATGTGGTTGGTAACTAGTCTAATAAATGAGTTTGAAAAGCTGTCTCAAGCTGTAGGCAACATCACTTTGGCAAGAGCAATGTGGGGTTTAAGTGACAGCATTTATCACTAGGGAAATGAAACTATGGTGATACACCCCCTACACACAAATGAATGGCTGTAGTCAAAAGCACAGGCTGTACATGATTATCAGGGAGCTGTGGAGAAATTAGAACCTTCACACACTAATGGCAAAAATGTAAAACAGACATTTTTTAAACAGTTTGGCAGTTTATAAAAAAGTTATCTATCCAGGAGGAAAGAAATTATGCCCATAGAAAAGAATACATATGGTCATAGTAAAATTATTAATTCAGCCTCAAATGAAAACGTGATTTAATTAACCAGCTAATAACTAACATGATTTATACCCATGCCAAGGAATACTACTAAACAACACAAAATAACAAATTATTTGCAACACTGGGGAACCTCAAAAATACTATGCTAAGTAGGAGAAGCCATTTATGGAATACTCCTAGAAAAGGCAAACAAAACAACAAAACTAGAGGTGGGAAACATATCAGTCTCTCCCTGAGGCTGGGTAAAAGAGAAACACACTTTAAATGGTCATACAGGGAACTTTTTAGAATGGTGTTAAATTTCTAGACCTGGATTTTATTAATGTTTGTAGAATTATATCCATACTCAAATTCAGCAAAGTATACATTTTAAAAATAGATTAATTTAGTGGTATGTAAATTACAACAAAATTTATAAAAGAAACACAACACAATTTTGTGGGAGTTATCAGATATGAATAAATTAACTATTTTATGCAAAAAAAAAACAGATCACAGAATCAGATACTATTAGAACTAAAAGAGACCTTTATTAATCTATCCCAAATCTCTCATTCAACAATGGGAAATTATGCAGATAACTTGATTGCCTAAATTGACCCTACAAGTTAGCTCTAAACTCAGCCCAAAACCTATGTTTTTCTTATGGAATGAATGTCATACTCCGCAGATTCTTGAGCTGAAAACCCTAGTCCCAATGTGACGTATTTGAAAATGGGACTTTATGAAGAAAGAGGTCATAGGGGTGCAGTTCTATGACAAGATTATATCTTCAAGAGGACTGTGGGAGGACACAGGAGAGCCCCGCACATAAACTGGGAGGCCTCAGCACTCACCAGATCTGCTGGCACCTGACCTCAGCTCCAGCTTCCAGAACACTAAGAAAGGACTGATGTTTAAGCCACTCAATCTCGCTATGACAAACCAAAGTAAGACTGCACTTTTTCTCTATCCTGCCCATTGTTTTCTCCTTCCATATTCAATCACTAACCAGGAATGGAGTTGAGGAAGCTTCAAAGTAGGACATCAAGCGCCACAGTAAAGTGTCCAACTGCTCTCCTCCTTCCAGAGAAAGCAGCCCTTTGGCTTTTTCCTTCACTGTCCCATCAAAGGTCGCATCCCTTAACTAAATTAGTAAATATTCTGGCTTATCTTGGTATTCGGTGCCTGACTATGATACAGTGAAACTTCTGTTTGCCCTAATTGCATCACTGCTAAATCTATGCCATCTTCACTTCAGAAAACTATCTGCAGAGACTGACCCAATTCTTTCTAGCCTGCTCTACAACCATTTTAAATTGAGTCCACATTTCTGAAAGGATATATATATATATAAGGAGAACTGGGAAATATAATAAGAAATTTTTAAAATGAGTTATTCCTTAAAACTGAAAGTATTTTTCCTATTCCCTGAAAACATGTATTTATTATAAACCAATTCTGTATATTTTATGTAAATATATCTAAAACCAACCAATTCCTTTCTTTATGAAGTGAAAACTGAGACTATACTGAGGTGTCAGTTAAAGCAAAATTTAAAAATTAACAAAATAAACAAAAGCCCAAATTCTGAAATATCTAATACTGTTTGTTTTAGTTATTTTTTGTAATCAAGGCAAGCTAGAGAAGGAAGACTTTACTGGGCTTATGGGTCCAGAGGGGTAAGAGTCCATCATGGTGGGGGAGGCAGGCACAAGGCAGGCAGAGCAGAAAGCTGAGGGCTCATATCTTCAAGTAGGCACAGGAAGCAGAGACAGGCTGGAAGTGGGACAGAGCCCTGAACCCTCAAGTCCACCCAGTGACACACTTCCTCCAGCAAGGCCACACTTCTTAAACCTCCCCAAACAGCGCCACCAACTGACCAAGTATTCAAATACTTGGAGCTCATGGAGGACATTCTCAATCAAACCACCACACTGATCATGAAATTAAAAAAAAAAAACTTTCAAGATATAATTTATTGAAACATTGTAATTTCTATTACATATATATATATATATACACACACACACACACACACATACATATGCACCTACATCTAAGAGACAATTTTGTCAAAAATTTTTGGATGAGCAGGGAAAGTAGTTTGCTCTATAGTGATAGAGTAACAGATAAAAATGATATTCCAGTTTATATACTGCTTTTTCAACTTTTTTTTCTAAACTTGATAAGTCATGTTCAAATTTGCCTGTATTGCATTCAGACTGTCACATGATAAAAGAAATTTCACACGTCATGTAAAAATTCTCCCTTTATGCACAGAAAACATGCTGTGTGACCTGTAGAGAACTGTACTTGTATATTATAACTCACTTAAAAATGGCTATATGAGGGGGCTGGAGAGATGGCTCGGTGGTTAAGAGCACTGGCCACTCCTGCAGAGAACCTGGGATCCTGGCACTCACATGACAGCTAATAACCATAACTTAAATTCCAGGGGATCCAATGCCTTCTACTGACTTATGTGGGCATTATACAACACGAATGCACTTACATACATGCAGGCAATACATTCATACACACAAAATTAAATAAAAATAAATAAAATATTTTTAATGGCGATATGATACTTTGATGATTATAAAGAACTTTTAGGAAAAGGTTTCAAACAAAGAAACAATGTTTAGTAAACCCTAAGTGGCCATCTCCTTTGAAACTGATTCACACTCCAGTGTGCCCTAAGTCTTCCCACTCCACAATCACTCTGATTCAGAAGCTCAACTATCATTTACTATCATGACAAAACTGTTATTTTTTTTAATATTTAATCCTTTTCAGTCATCTATTCTAGCTGCCTTTCCTGCTGTGAGTTTGATAACATATCCTGTTATAATAAGTTTCCTTATCCAGTTCTATAGACTTTAAGATCCTACAGTTGTCACACCTCTTCCAATGTCCCTAGCAGTAACAAACAATGTCCCTAGCAGTAACAACCTCTGGAAGATACAAAAAAAAAAAAATTGAAACGATATTGTCTGGACACCTTGGGGGTAGTTACACATATTAGCCCACAGTACTTATGACAGCATGCACAAGACTTGTGCAAATAAAGACTGACAGGGGCCCAACATGGATGAGGGGGCAGGCAGGAAGCCCCCGCCTAGCCCAGTATCTATTGGCAACTGATGGATGCTGGAAGAGGGAGTCAGTTCTCCTCACTTGTGTAAGGCCTGGTAGGTTGACCAGAATCCAAGGCTGGACCTACATCCAGCAGTACATGGGAGGTACAGAAGGGAATCTACAGGCCTTTAAAAAACAATACATAAACTAAAAATAAATAAATAAATAAAGGACAGGTAATAATGCATGACATGAAGTAGGGGTTGGGTAGTAGGGGAGGGGTTCTGAATACGATCAAAGTACAGTGCATAAAATTCTGAATAAAAATATTTTTGAAGAACAGAAAGAGTTGTATCTGGTTCAGACACACTAAAATCACAGTTAATGTGGTTACCACACTTAAGCACCCTGATTTGTGAGCTAGGTATGGTGGTGCATACCTTGTAATCCCAGCAGTTTAAGAAGGCTGAGGCAGGATTTCTATGAATTCTAGGCTAGCCTGGGTTATCTTTAAGAATGAACCTCAAACTACAGCAACAACAAAACATCCAGAAGACTTGTTCTCAACTAAATGAAAACTCGGTGTACTGAGAGGTGTACTGTGGAACAATCCCATCTTTTAGGAATATGCTACTTAGAAAGATGAAGTGGAAGGCAGCTTGTTGACCTAGAGTGGAAGCATTGTCCACTAGAGGGAGATGGCCTGTGCTTAAGGAACATCACAAACAAATTGGTTTAGGACAATTTTTCCATACTCATCAGGCAGGTTCTGGGACTCAGTATTGAAGCAAAAGTCTGACTTTCCAAACCCTTGGTGCAGTGGGTCAGGGCAAATGCACAGCTGAGGCCTCTTAAGTACAAAGTGGAGCACACACAATACTCCTCAGGAAGAATTTAGAGTACATATTATTATTAAATAACACCCATCAGCACAG